CTGTTCGACATGGTGGACCGTCATTCGTTCAAGGCCACCCGGCTGATCCTTTCAACTCGTTCGCTTCGATGCATAACAGGTCTCAAGACAAAGGACGACAATTATCAGAGCCTGGACAGCATTCAACCACGTTGTCTGGCCCCAGATCTGACCTTTTCCGTCTGGTTGAAAATTATATTGCTGGTTGCTTTGTCGGATGTGCCACGTTGAATCAGTCTTTTCTCACCCCTCGACCCCCCCAAGAATCAAAACCTAGGTCGGGGTCAGGGACGCAACAAAGGCGACAGTTGTCCGAACCAAATTCTGCTCCAGTATTCGAGCCTGACGTCTTCTTATCTGAGCTTGATGCTAAAACCCTTTTACTAGGCGACGTCGCAGAGAACGGGTCATGGTGGTTAGGCGCTCCAAGTGGGCGTGCACCTATGTCGGGCAAAGAACCTCATCATCTCCGAGACAGGTCGCCAGAGAAGACTCGCAGTTCAGCAAGTGCGAGAAATCCTAGGATCAATTGGCTGGAGCTTGCTGAATGGTATCGGCTAGTGATCTATGCCGGCGATCTTTGGGAACAGCGGTGGCACGAACTTAGATCCAAGTTGTCAGCCTCTAAAGCACAGCAACGTTGGCGTTCAATCCCTTTAGAGAGCATTCAGCGAGATATCATCGAGTCTCGAATACACCTGCAGCGGAGCTTATTGAAGATTACGGAGAACCTCTTAAAACGGCCCAGGCAACCGTTGAAGCATCCCGAGGATTGCCGATTCCTGCTGATGCTTTTGGCTAACCCATTGTTGACCCCTGCGAGGCTTGAGACAGGCAAGATGTTTGGGGTAACTATACCTCATCCGCCCATACCAGGGAGGAAACAGATTGACGATCGAGCCTATGACTCCCCCTCAAAATGTCTTCCAAGCGGCGGTAAACGACCAGGAAGTCTCGGCCACCACTCGGGCATAATCAAGCGCATACTTGGCCTGGTGGCCAATCTTTCTAATGAAAACCATCAGTATCTAGTGTCATGGTTTTCTAGATACTCAGACGGCCATTTCCAAAGGACAGTGGAAATGGTGGGCAGCTTTGTGAGTTACAGATTGTCACGACAACAGAAAAATCCGGCTCACGAACTCATCAATCCCACAGAGGGGCTCGTTCCTAGCTTCTCTGACTCCGGAATGCATCATGCCTCTCAAATTCACGCTGCGCTCGGAGGCAGAGCTTCTTCCAATTCCGCAGGCAACTCTGACGGAAAGCCCAAGTTGTCATCGTACGGTGAAGATTGGCAGATCCGAGTTGCGGCACGAGTCATGGCGTTGTTGTTTCACGCAAACGCGGGCCATACCGCTCGGAAGAGGGACGCGTTCGCGGCGCACGAGCAAAGCTTGCAGAGTCCGGGTCTCAACGCTAAGTACCATGCGTACTCTCACGGCCAGATAATACCAATCAGCAACTTCTACAATACGATGCTGGATTATGCAGACCTCGTGGCAGACTTCGAAACTTGGGAGACGACAAAGACAAAGTTTACTTTCTGCCAGTACCCCTTTTTCCTGAGCATATATGCGAAAATTCACATCCTCGAGCACGATGCTCGAAGACAGATGGAAATCAAAGCAAGAGAGGCCTTTTTTGACAGTATCCTGAGTCGCAAAGCTGTCAGTCAATACCTCATACTCAAAGTTCGGCGAGAATGCTTGGTCGAGGATAGTCTCCGTAGCGTTTCTGAGGTTGTCGGATCTGGAGGTAGTGATATCAAAAAGGGCCTGCGTATCGACTTTCAGGGAGAAGAAGGGGTCGATGCAGGCGGTCTCCGCAAGGAATGGTTCTTGCTGCTGGTGAGGGAAATATTCGATCCGCATCATGGATTGTTCGTCTATGACGACGATTCGCGTTATTGCTATTTCAACCCCTTTTGCTTCGAATCATCCGAGCAGTTCTTCTTGGTTGGGGTGTTGGTCGGGCTCGCCATCTATAACTCGACCATTTTGGACGTGGCATTCCCCCCGTTCGTCTTCAAGAAAATGTTGGCTTCGGCGCCCTCAACCGGCGACAAGTTGTCGTCGATTCCCAAGGTCGGTCATGGGTTCACCTTGGAGGATCTCGCCGAGTTCCGGCCTGCATTGGCGCGGGGTTTGAGGCAGCTACTTGAATTCGAAGGCGATGTTGAAGAGACGTTCTGCCGTGACTTTGTGGCCGAAATGGACCGCTACGGTGATGTTGTCCAGGTCCCGCTATGTCCTGGCGGCGAGAAACGAGCAGTGACCAACTCGAATCGCAGAGAATTTGTCGACCTCTACATTCATTATCTACTCGACACAGCTGTGGCAAGACAGTACGAGCCCTTCAAACGTGGCTTCTTCACTGTCTGCGGGGGAAATGCATTGTCCCTGTTCCGACCCGAAGAGATTGAACTTCTCGTACGAGGCTCTGACGAGCCCCTGGACATTGGTAGCTTGCGGGCGGTGGCGACCTATGAAGGCTGGCCCAAGCAGGAAGGACCGCCCGAACAGCAGCCCCAAGTGGTCTGGTTTTGGGACTTCTTCGCACGGGTTTCGCCCGTGGATCAAAGGAAAATCCTCAGCTTTATTACCGCAAGCGATCGTATCCCAGCCATGGGAGCCACAAACCTGGTGATTCGCATCCAACTGATTCACGCCAAGGAGGAGATGGATGAATTTGGAAGACCAACGAATAAACCGGTGGAAAGATTTCCTATTGCAAGAACGTGCTTTAACACCCTGAGTCTGTATCGGTATGTGTCGAGGGAGAAGTTGGAGGAGAAGCTCTGGACGGCGGTTCAGGGGAGTGAAGGATTCGGGTTGAAATGAATCTTGTTGTTATGCGCTGGGCTCCTGCACGATATGCCAAGACAAGCGGCAGCTGCGAAGGACGAAATAGAGCTGGCTCACCATGCCCGCTGTGTTGGATCATGTGTCACGCATTTCTCTGGGATTGTTTCGGGAGCGTCGGCGCTGGTGCGGAAGGCTGAGAGTTGAGGCATTTTAATGGGCCCATGGCATGGCATTGGGAAACAGGCGCGTCGCTCGGAAGCTCCGTCAAGGGGAGTGAAGCGAAATTTGGGTTCCCTCGATGGGTTCTTTTTTGCGGGGTGAAACGAGGAGCACTCTGTTGCCCAGCATTGTTTTGCATCTTCTTGGTTGACATTCGGTCAAGAGGGAGGGTAATCAATGAACAAATGATCGATACCTGTGGCTCTGGATTTCAAGAAAAGGAGAACAATTCGTATTATGAGCACGGGAAAGCATAGCGACAAGCTATATTTATCTGCCCTTGAAACCAGAGATACGCATAAGCATGCATCCGTTCACAAACGAATCTTCTCTCCGCCGAGGACTTATAAAACCGACAGCGAGTAAAAAGGTGGCTATTACATATGACACAGGAGCGAGTGAGTGAGCAGCTTGCATGTTTGTTCAGTGAGGGAGGAGGCCCCAACCTCCACTGATGGGCGGCCCAGGAGTGAGTGACGAGTTGGTATCAAAACGTCAGCGTGCCTGCCTCCGGGAAGAGCAAGAACAAGAGCAACAGCCGCTGAAGACGGCAACTCACTCACTTATTTTGACGATGCGACCGACGTTGTGCAAACACGAAGCGAGTTGAACCGCAGGTGACGACGTGCGCCGGATCGTGTAAAGAAAGTGAGTGAGTTGCCGTCTTCAGCGCTCTGCTCTTGCTCACGGGAGACACTGATGTTGACTTGGGACAACGACGCGAGTTAAAGTTTCGCCGCGGGCTGTCGGATGGGCGCAAATAAGCGAGTCACTGTCCGGAGCACCGAGGCGCGGAGGCCCGACGACAGAGCGGAGAGGAAGGAACAAACAAGCCTCTAAGAGACGATGGCAACACGTCCTTGTCCTGACGGACCGGACAGCGTCGTAGTCAGCAACGGCCAAAATATCAACAATGGCCTTGCGAAAGGATCGTCGTTGTCCTTCTCCCCATCCATCCCGCATATCCCTCCCCGCGATGTGTTCGCCGGCATGTCACGCGACAAGCATAGGGACACACACCTAGTAATGACGGTAAAAGATTCAAGCGCAATTCCCCCTCTGGTGGCCTCCAAGCCAAGGGATTTTCTCGGGGCCTCGAGGAAGGATGAAGGACAGAATCTGACTGACTGCCTGCGTTCAAGGCCTCGTTGGTGGCCGCCGCGCAAAGCTGTAGGAAGCTCGCGGCATTTGCTATTGTTTATTTTCCGATCATCTGCTCTTTGAAAATAATCAAACCGCACCGTTGAGCCGGAAACAGGGTTCCCTGGGCGAGCCAGCGAAAAAGACCAATGCCAATGGAGCAACAGTCGGCGAGAAGGGACCGAGCAGGAGCTCCAAAGTTTCTGACGCTAGAGTGCAACTTTGATTATCCCCGTGAGACAGGCACTGGTGACAGGCTCCAAACACATCTGGAACGCTGCCAGCGGCGAATACTTGCTTCTTAGCACCCCAGGGACGAATGGTAACTCCTGCTTCAACATCGTGAACACATCGGATTCAAGGCTGCACTCACCGATTTAGTAGGGGGATGGATCATCCGTCACAGAAATTTTCACGGCGTGCGGTCAGAAGATGTCCGAGGTGCATAGCAGGGGCATTAGTGAACAAGCTCGGCGACGGGGAAGCTGGGTAGACGAGATCTTTGTCGGCGGCCATGGAGGTCTGGCTGGTGCAATGAGATAACACACGGGTGCACGATGATATCTCGGAGGGGCGTGAGATCTTCATGGCCATTTGGTTGGCCATCGGAAAATGTCGAAGTAGGTTTCGATCAAGCAGAAATTCGCCCCGCACTCGGCTGCGCTGCCCACGCTATCATTTTGTTGCTGTTTGGCTCCGTCTGGTAGCTTTGGCTGGCGGGAGGATCCCCCTCAACATATTTCTTTTTGAGCGGTCGACCCTTCATAACGCCCGTGGACTTTCTTCTCTGCAATAACTTCTTCACTTTCCTGTTGTGCTGCTGCATTTTTCATAGACCAGAGCTCCTTGATCAACATGGGTTCCGCAAGTCTCCCCTCCAAGATGAAGGCCCTGAGTATGACTCCGTCCCATGATTGTGTTGGTTTTCGTTTCCAGAAAGAAGCGGTCAGAGCTGAAGTTTGGCTGGACTATCGCCTGACGTGCATCTAGAGTACGATGAGCCTGAAAAATTCAGCGTCGTCGAGGTCCCTCTCCCCTCGCTCCGCGAACATGACATCCTGGTACGTTGCTGGTATACAGATCAACAGAAGAGATTGCTGAGAACAAGATGTAGATCAAGGTCAAGGCTTGCGGTGTCTGTGGCACTGACCTGCACATTCACGAGGGTGAATTTTTGGCCAAGGTATGAGCCAGAATCAGCTGGATGACTGCGGGCAAATCTGACAACAGGTGCAGTTCCCCTTGATTCCTGGCCACGAAACCGTGGGTGTCGTTGCAGCCCTCGGGCCAAAAGTCAAGGGGTTCAAGGTTGGTGACCGGGTGGTTGCAGACAACTCGGAACTCTGTGGAGAATGCTTCTACTGCCGTCGCGGGGAGGAGCTTCTCTGCGAAGACTTCCAAGCACACGGTGTGACCATGGACGGTGGCTTCGCCGAGTACTGCGCATACCCTGCCAAGCGAGTGTTCCCGATCAAGAATTTGTCTGATGTCGACGCAACCCTGCTCGAGCCCGCTTCCTGCGCCGCCCACGGTTTGGACAAGATCGCACCCAAGATGGGTTCAAGCGTGCTCATGTTCGGTGCGGGGCCTACCGGTCTCGTCTTGACACAGATGCTCCGCCAGAACGGGGGTTGCCATGTTGTCATTGCGGCGCCGGAGGGACTGAAGATGAACCTCGCCAAGTCCCTGGATGCGGCTGATGAGTACGTTGAACTGTCCCGAAAGGATCCCAGCGCGCAGTTTGAGAAGATCAAGAGAGAGAATCCGTATGGATTCGACATTGTGGTTGAAGCCACGGGCAGCGTCAAGATCCTGGAGGACGCGATCAACTATGTGCGACGAGGCGGCAAGCTCGTGGTATATGGCGTGTACGGCAACAAGGACCGCGTGTCGTGGCCGCCGACCAAGATCTTCGGAGACGAAATCACCATCCTTGGATCGTTCAGTGAGACATACAAGTTCCCTGCTGCCATCGACTATCTTGGTATGTATCGTCCATTCCCAGCTCTTTCTAGGGCCATGTGACTGACCGTTGGTGGCACAGATACGGGCAAGGTCAAGGTCAAAGGCATCGTAAACAAGACATTCAAGTTGGAGCAATGGGCCGAGTGTCTGGAGTCGATGAAGAACAAGAGTGCCATCAAGGCGGCTATTGTCTTCGATTAGAGGAGCGCATCGCCGACGTAGCGGCAGGTCTTTGCACAAGGCGAATCTGTCATGGGTTGGTGGTGGTTTAGAAAGCAATTCCCTTGTGGTTGGTAGGAAAGAAAGGTGTGGGAGAACGTTGTTGAGACGGTGTACGAGGTAGAAATGGTCAAACCACAATTTTGGTTATGTACCGAGTACTCGGTAATGGACGCTTGACGCTGTGACGCTGTGACTCTTTGGCCCCCGCGTTGTCTTCCCGTCTTTCCGTTGTGTGACTGCCCTTGGCCTGCCTCTCGCCTCTTCTCCCAATTCGAGCAGCAAGCAACAATCATCCCTGCCAACCTGCTCTCTCTCACTCTCTCCCTCTCCCCCCTCTCAGTGCTGCCGTTGTTGGCAGATTTGATTCTGCTCGCTGCTACACCGCAGCGAGCCCTCGGCCTTGACGGTGGTGGATAGGTGTACCAGACTCCATTCAACCTCAATGAAACTCGAAATGAGAAACGTGCTGCAACAGTCAATGGAATGGCATGAGCTTTGGAGTGCTGATTCAGCCCACGACAATTTCACCGGTCTGTTTGCTGTTTCCAGATTGATGATCCCGTTTGGGAGCAAGTTGCCATTCCGTGTTCTCTGCTTCGAATGAATCAAGAACTACCTGCCTAGGTAGGTGAACAGTGTACCTTTCTTTTCGTGGCCTGTAAATACAGTCCCCACTGGTCTCTTCAACCGTCAGTCCCATACTCGCAGCTGCTGTTGTTCGACCAGACAACGACGAGGAGATCTGGCAGCCATCCGTTGTCTGCTTGGACCAACCCAAGCTCCAATCCCAGTCATTCTGCTCAGAAGATACAGAACGATTTGGTCGGCCAAGACCACATCCTTATTAGAGGAGCCTTCATTAAGAAAATCCTGATGAAGAAAGCTGTGAGATGATGAGAGGCCTGCGCGGTCTCTGGACCACCCAAAATATCACTCTGGAATTTCTTTCGAAAGCCTTGGGTGAATAGAAGATGGTGTGGCACATCAGCGGATGAGGCTGTTGTGTGAAGGACGGACAAGCGCAGACGCCGCGGGTGAAAGTGACATCCATATCGCTCACTCAGCTCTGCCGCACCCTTGGATGCAATGCTCTGTGGCCCCCCGGGGCTCCCAGCCTCGCAATTCCCAGGAGTCTCAGTGGTATAAATATTTCACTCAGTTTGATCTCACCGTCGTCCATTTCTCCATCGCCAACTCAGCATCGGCCACCATCACTGCAAGAGAACATCAGCTTCGGAGTAATTGTACAATATCACACCCTTCTCTACCAGCAAACATGCTGCCTTACAAGTTCCCCAACATGTCCTCGACCACCACTACCTTGACCCTTCCATTGAGAGCTGCGCCACCAAAGTCAATTACTCTTGACCCCTATTTCACCCTCCTTTACGAAGACAACAAGAAGGCCCTGAAACACTTCCTGGACAACAAAGCGCCCCTTCCGGTTAACGACATTCTCGCGACCCCAAGACTTGTCGAATACCTTCTGAGCAAAGAGCCCGGCCCAAAAGTCCAGTACGAAAACCTTCGGCCTGCCCTGACTGCCATTCGCTCCTTCTTGCTCAGCTCTCCTGGCGGCAAAAAGCTTATGGCATTCTACAAACACCTCCTGCAAGTTCAAGGTCGCTGGTTGATGGCAACTGCTGAATTGATCGGCTTCGAGCTCTACATCAAGCTCACCCATGCCCTCTTCGTCTCCCGTGATGACGAGAAGCTCTTGGCCCATTTTGTGAAGGTCATACCAGGGGCGGTCTCCAAAGTCGCAAACTACAGCGACATTGACCGGGCTACCTTTGACGTCTTGCTCAATCTCGAAAAGAACCGACTTCAAGAGGCGAGCACCACTGCAACGGACAACCTCTTCAATTTCAAAGTCTCCAAGGAATTTTACCAGACACACGGCAAACTTCTCACCGCCATTGAGGTCCACGAAGCCAAACTTGAGGAACTTCGTGAAAGAGCTGCTCGCCGTAAAGCCGAACGCCACGCAAGAATCCGAGCTGCCTACGCAGCCAATGCAGCTACTTTCAGCCGGCAGATGGGTATGGCGGGTATGATACCCTACCATCCGCAAGTCGAAGCCTCTGTCTGTCAATACGCCAAGGAGATTCATAAGGAGTTTTTCTCTTTCAATGGGGAACCAGAAACTGAACAGCCCGTCGGTGAGTGTAATCTCTGCCGATCTTGCTGTCGGCATCGCTAATGAACTCACTGATCACAGTATAATTGTCGAGACTTGACCTACGAATAGTACTGAGAGGTCGACTTCACAGGTTGCCATGTCACTGCAGCTTTGTGGTGATGTCTCTCAACCACATACTGAGATGCCCTTCTTCGAGCAACAGCTGTTCTCAACAACTGCTCTCCCCCCTGAGCACCAGAGTTCCTCAAGTTGAGTAACATTGGCCCAGCGGAGTCATTGAGTCGACAAGATTTTCAATGAGCAAGACTCGCATACATTGTAATGTACCACAACTGAATGAGCTTTGAGACAGATGGGCTAAGATCTTATGGGACAGGCCTTGTTGGCGGTCCAAACCGGGAAAGACTTTCCTTTTTGGATGGCTCTCTTGGGTCCGACTAGACAATAAGAATGACCCTCTTGTCGAGGCAGATATTGTCGGCGAAAGAAGAATGAGAATCCAAATGTCCACCTTCACGATGAATGATACATGGAAGGCTTGAACGACACAGAATCCAAATGTACTTTTGGTATCGAAACGACGAAAGAGTTCGTTGAACAGACTCCCCTGAAGGACCTTTCAACATGATTGAAATTGAATTCTAGACGTTGATTCCTCACTTTTTTTTTGGCATTCTTTTGTTCTCTCTCTCTCTCGCGGCAAGTCGCCCTGCCTGGAAGCAAGCAAGGCCTTGGTAATGATATCAGGGACTTTGATAGGGCCAGAAGCAGAGTAGAGGAGGATACAAAAAATGGATCTAAGCTCAGGGTCGACGACAGAACCCACCATCTTCGAACTAATCATCAGACAATCGCGCCCTGTCGATTGCTTGCTTGTCCATGACGAACGAGACTTGGGACTCGTTAGCTTGTTTTATTGCCATTTCCCCTCTCTCCAGACAAGGAAGGCCCCCCTTCCACGAAGAAGCATCCCTGACAGTAGAGATCCCCACCAGCAACCAACTAATGAACCATATCTCGCCCACAATTTCGCCAGCAGGTAGAGTCTTGGCTCCTTTCCTCACTTTCGGATAGCTCTCTGGTAGAATGCCAACTCGTCACCCTCCAGGATGTAGCCGTCCACCCTACCGCTCTGGCCGGGCCGAGAGCTCACCACGGCGTAAAGTCGACCAGCCTCGAACTGTCTCTCCAACGCGGGCTCGATCTTGCCGCTCTTCTTCAGCCGCTCCTCCCTCTTCGCTTGCACGCTCCTGCTGACTTTGGTCTCCCCAGTACCGGCCTCGGCAGCCGCAGCTCCTGCGCCCGCCGCCTTGGTCTGCTGCTGTCGTTTCCGCCCAATGTTGGTGCCGTAGTGGGCTTCGTACCAGGTCCTGAAGGGGGCCGCGTCGATCTGCACGACGGCGGACTTGGTGAGGGTGTTTGTGCGGACGAGTTCGTTGTTGGAAGGGTGGTAGGCCACGACGATGACGCGGACTTTGCGGGCAATGCCCTCGCTGCCCCAGGAGAAGTTGCCGCTTTCCAGGCGCAGGGCACGGTACTTCGTGTTGCCGCCGCGGGTGCGGACAAGGTGGATGCGTTTGGCGCCGATACGGGTGTTGGCGGGTTGGCGGCCCTTTTCGAATGCTCTATATAGGGAGAAAACAAAGACAAAATGTCAGATTCCAATCATTCCCATCTTTTTTTCTTCCCTGGAGGAGGGGAGATATTGTACCTCTTCTTACGGTAATATGCGCGCTTCGCACCGGTGGCAGACCGCTTGTGACGGCTGTCTCGTGAGATACCCATGATTGCGGTACCGAGGAGGACTGCAGAGGATAAGGACTTGTCAGTATTCACATCGATTGTATGTCCACAACAACAGGTGTCAATCGAAGGAAGTAACCAAAAACTCTGGGTGGGTATGTTGTATTTAGACTCTTCAAGACATTTCCTCACGCTGGATGAAGACAGAAACTCGAACACTGACCTGATCAAATCAGCAATCCCTCAGTGAGCAATTAAGAGTACGTCGTTGCGAGATCTCGTTGAGATGGGATGTGGATTGTCGTCTCAGTGCAAAGGGTCGTTCAATCCCACGAATCCAAAAATCGCAAAATCGAGAGCGTGCGCCGGGTCGCGTGCCAAGAATTTTTTGCCAAGCGTCATTTTCGGCTACGGCGGATTATTAGTGCAGCTCCACGCATGTGCACCAGCCTTGGTATTGACGGGAGTGGGCAGGTACGGGTATATGGCGCCCTGGCAAGTACCCAAGATCACTAAGTCTACGCTGATACTGATTCTTACATCGGCTGCTTCTTGCTACTTAAGGCGCTTTTCATATGGCGATCGTAGAACACGTTTAAATCACCATCTTCGAGACAGTTTCGAGCTCTTTGAACATTTCAAAGTCGCGTTTGAACAAGTACTACCAGCCACCAAGCCACTTTCACTTATAGATACAGCCTGTTCATCATGCACTATGGTTGATGTGCGCTGCTGATACTCTGAGAGTCGGCTTCACTCTTGCCTGAATTGGCTGAAGAGATACTACGGTCCAGCTAATGACAATAAGGTGAACAGAAATCCTACTATGCGGTAGACAGTCCCAACGATCTGCTGTATGACGAGGGAGTACAGGGTCTCCAGGTAGATAATGCCAAGACTATAATCTTGGCGTAGACTGCGACACACATTCGGCCGTCTCCAAGTAACATTTGCTACGACCTTTCCACCGCTACTACTACCTTTTTCCAATCTACCTCCTGTTGTGTGCGATTCCCCGAAGAGCGCCAGGAACTCGCAGCAACATCTCTTCCTGCTCCTCTCGTCTGCACCGAAGTCCGTCCACAGCAGGAAT